TTATCTACAACAACTCGTAATGTAGTTAAAAGGCGATGCTCGTCGTACTGCATCCTGTTCGATGTGGGACTCATAGCAATGTACACAACGCATGTAAAATAATTGTTTGTTTACATGGAATTTGAGCATGTGCTGTGCGATGACCACCACCCTTTCACCATAAAAACGTAGCACTAGATTTCCTTGATTTTTATCATATTTTACACTGCATGTTGCTCCCAAAATCCTAATAGAAAAGATTGGTCAGCAAACTATTTTCGCACAAAAACTGTGTCAAACACCTATGAAAATTATGATTTTGATAATGAAGTCAACAGAAACTAAATAATAGTGAATTTTATGGTATGAACAATATAATGTGATTAAAAAGAATGGTTATCTATCCCCAGACACAATGTCATGATCAAAGTTGTTTAAACTGGTTTTGTTGTTACCGATAATATCGGTAGTATTACATTGAATTAATTTGTCTACCTTTCTTTTATGTTGTAGGCTTTTGAATCGTCACTGACCGTTGATAAACACTTTGCGATTGGTCGTTATCAACTGAGTATTGTTCATTACAACTGCCGCAGATTTAAGGATGCTGAGATGTCATTTAAACACACGCATGAAAGTCTGAGAGGAAAGAATTACATCGATTACAAACAACTCGGTCTACGCTTCGTTCTCTATGAATGTGAGGTACACTAAGTGATCATCAATGTTCGCTGGAACAACAAACGTACATTATCATTGTTGAATCATGCCTTAAGATCTATGGATTGTCATTCATTATTACCCCGGTAATATTAATGGGTGTTTATTACATGCATAATTTGCATATCACCACAGTGTGACAGGGCAGATCACAAACCCAAATTGCCACAGTGTGATAGGGCAGATCACAAACCCATATCACCACAGTGTGACAGGGCAGATCACAAACCCATATCACCACAGTGTGACAGGGCAGATCACAAACCCATATCACCACAGTGTGACAGGGCAGATCACAAACCCAAATTGCCACAGTGTGATAGGGCAGATCACAAACCCATATCACCAGTGTGACAGGGCAGATCACAAACCCATATCACCACAGTGTGACAGGGCAGATCACAAACCCATATCACCACAGTGTGACAGGGCAGATCACAAACCTAAATCACCACAGTGTGACAGGGCAGATTACAAACCCATATCACCACAGTGTGACAGGGCAGATCACAAACCCATATCACCACAGTGTGACAGGGCAGATCACAAACCCATATCACCACAGTGTGACCTAGGACAGGGCAGATCAAAAACTCATATCACCACAGTGTGAC